AGCCTCGCACAGCGCAAGTGGACAGCNCACCGTGTGCCCCGCATTGATCTCGGGGAAGATGGGCGCATCGGTGACACGCAGGTTCCCGGTGCCGTGCACGCGCAAGGGGGAATCGACGACCCCCGCGTCCTCGACCGGTGCCATCGGCACCTGCATGTGGGGTGGTACATCGTCTGGACGTGCTCGCGCACCAAGCGCTCGAGCACCGCGTCGTCGAGCATGCTGATGTTGTGGTTGAGGCCGTGGAGGCCCGGATGCCCGTCGCCATCGCTAAGAGCGGCGCCGTGTGCGCGATCCGGGGCCGCCGGTACTTTCGCACGCTGTTACGAGCCTCCGTTTCTGACAGCGTCCTGCGAAGGTCGAAGCAGAGGTGTATAAGTCATTGAATATAAAGCGCAAAATCCCGGGTACACATTCGAGGTCGGAGAGGCTCACCTGGTTGTACTACTTTCGAGGAGAAGCAAGCTCGTGGCAAGTTGGCTTTGGGGTCCTTTCCTTTCCTTTCCTGGATAGAGCGGATCATTATATAGACGCCCAAAACCCCGGCGTCGCGCAGCTTTCTCTCAGCTCTGACGACGTCGTGACGCCGGCAAATCATCGTTTTTAGCGACAGTACCATCCCGGCGTGCTATGGTCGATGTGATCCTGCGTTTGACTGCTTTGTTTATCACGTCATCGATTCAACGCTAGCAGCTCGACAACTCCAAATCCCACTAGCCATTTTCGTTCATTTCCGTCCCCTACGACTCTTTTTATGGCATACGTTCGCAAGGGATGGGGCTCTTTTGAGATCAAACTGTGCAGCCGGGACGATACTATCCATGGGACTTCACGTAGATCGCCGTGCCACAAAGAAACCGGCAATTGATATATCCTCTCCGGCACCGCTACTGCTGAACTGCGCGGCGCTCAGAGACAGCGATCCAGGTCGGGAATAGCAATGTTGTATCATAGCCACGACTGACCGTTTAGTAGCTTCGTGGGTTTCTTTACGGGCTTAATGTCTCCTGAGACAGGTGCCAGGTACCTCCGATCGGGTGAGATGATTGTTGAAATTCGGAGGATGGTTACACGTACGCTCAGGATATGCGATAAATGCGAAGCAATATAAAGCGGAAATACTCGCGCTATGACAGCCCCGCTCACTAATAGCTCCCAGGACGCTCCTCTCCTGGCGCAGCAATTTGTTCCGTACCTCCGGCTACGGAGGCACCAGAACGACTGTGCAATGCCAAGCTCCACGTTCATGTGCGCTTGAGTACCCTCGGGACCGCGCTATCTTCGCCAGAGCATCTGCTCAAACCAAGCATCGGCAGATCCACGGCAAATTGCGGCCCCCTGCCGGGACTCCTCACCAAGTTACCATACCTCTTAGCGAGTCGCTCGGGCTCACGCCGACCGTGTAAACTTGACCACATGACATCGGTTTTAGAGATGTTACCTAGCAGCTGCGGATTGCACGCATACGTGTCCGCTGCGCAGGTATTTTCCATAAACGTGAATGCTCGCAAGGTGCGTGTCCACCAAGCTGCATTTTGTGCACTACTGCGCAGACTCTCTCGACAGTTCATGGCGCTTGTAGACCATCGTGAGAGTACCGATGCTTTTTTTTTTCGAGTCAGCGAACCGGAATTCCGCGAGCGTGTTGGGCCTACCTTTTGCGCATTATATGGTGGTATAAAACGCCCCTCATCTGCGAATAATCACGCATGTACGGGGAATTAGGACACCCGGGACATGAGCTGTCGATCTGTTTACGAAGCAGCATTGTTACAGTGGGAAAATTGGTAATATCGAGCACATTATGACCGCCTGCTCAGCAAGGGCGTCAGAGTCACGACAACAGCTCGGTGTCCGATCGATTAAGATGGCCGTTCAAATATATAAGTCAGAGGCAGGTAGAGTAAACCATGCAACGTTCCTTCGCCACTTGTCCCCCTACTCGGCATCCCAGCCATGTTCCTCTTTCGCTATCTTCCTAGCCCTCCTAGATACCGCTCCTACATCTTACTAGAACCGCTTGGAGGTTCAGTACCACATAAACAAAAGCCACGTCGCGTTCACGTACCCCGCTGCATCTATGCCGCCCTTGCTGGCTTATTTATTGCGTCCGTTGTCTTCAACATCGTCCATCTGGTTAGAAGCACACACACCCCACCAGTACCGCTCGACGATTTCCAGCAATTGTGAGTCCTGCCGCTTGTCGTCCTTCACTCTGACTACAGCATACCCCTAGAAAAACATACCCACTTCTCAACGAATCCGCCATACCGTCTCTGTCTGAAGATGCCTGGCACAGCGCCGCGGTGGTTACCACCCTCTACTCCGACTCCTACGCTCCTGCCGTTGCAACGCTCGGTCATTCGCTACACCTGGTGCATACCTCCGCTCGTTTAGTCCTCCTCTATATCCCATCCAAAGTCTCCGCAGAGGCCTTGTGTCTCGCTACATCCTCCGGCTTCGTTGCTTATCCTGTCGAGCGCATCCCACCCCCCGCAGACGGCCGCGGCATGCTTAAACATTTCGCCGACCAGTACACGAAGCTCAGACTCTGGTCACTCGACGCACTGCCCGACCCCATCACAAGCCTCGTATACATCGACAGCGATACCCTCGTCCTCCGCAACTTCGACGAGCTCTTCTCTCTACCATACAATTTCGCTGCTGCGCCTGACGTTTGGCTCGGTCAGCGCGGCTTCACGCTCGACTTCAACGCCGGTGTCGTCTTCTTGCGCCCGGACAGCGAGCTCTTCGACTCTATGCTCGCGGCGCTGGAAGTGGCGCGGTATCCACCTGGATGGGCCGAGCAGGCGTTCCTAAACCAGTACTTCGCAACCGACGTCCTACGCCTGCCGCTCGCGTACAATGGGAACATCGCCATCAAGCGGCGCGCGCCAAAGGTTTGGGACAGCCTCCAGGACGAGATGCGCGTTGTACACTACACCATGGCCAAGCCGTTCCTATCGCGTAGCGGGAAGGGAGTACCACTCGACCACCTCGAAGAGCGCGTGCGTGCCGCTGCAGAGGAGCATGAGGGGCTATACAGGGAAGAGGTGCTGCAGTGGGGTGACATGTGGCGGGAGGCTCGGAGGGTGTACGCGGATGAGCTTCGGAAATGTATGATTTACTGACACACGCATGTGCTCATGTTAAGGTACGTCCGTAGCCTGCTGGTCGGTGCGTTGGCTGATATTTCGCAGGTACGATGGATTCATGAGCTCATACAGCCAACGTTACTGTCCCCGCCCCAATCGTTCATCTGCTCGATGTTTACGGTGCATAGTTACTATAGGCTACAGTGCTTGAAGATGAGCATTTTCTCAAGAAAAGGAAAAGGAAAAAGTAGTCGGATTATGGCTGGGCGAGATAATTTGTCCATTTTCGAGCTGTCTCCACGCACGGATTCAGCACTTCTCGCCCGTAGGCTATCCGCAAGAACACTGACGACGATGTTTCGATGAGCTCGTCACCTTACAATCGCAAGCCGGACACTTTGTAACATCCTCCATCCGTCAGCGGCTGCGCACGAAACGTGCGAAAAGGATGATCTTACTGCGCCTGTGAACCCTTTACCCGTCTGACGTGTCACGGAAAACTTGCTGGTGTATGAATAATCTATGCAATGGAAGACATAGCAGTCCGTCATCTGATGAACACATGCACATTGTGATCCCTGTCCAGTAATCATGTCTGCGAAAAGTGCGGACCTATTTGTCATACACACTACCGACATTTGGGGTAGTGCCACCTTCCGTTACCCGCGGTAACGGCATTACGACAGCCCTCTCGAACGTTACCGGATCGCAGGGAGGGGCTCGAATGTGACAGACCTGTCAGGGTTGATGCATGATGTCCTAGCAGCACCCGCATCTCATGGCAAATCCGGACACTCACCTGATAGCCAGTACGAGTTCCGAACTTTGGATATTGAGCGTGAGTCTCGGCTGCGGTTGGCTTCGCCCCGAGGTTCGGTTCTCGGGCGATCTGGCACATAGCGTCGCCATCTTCAGAATACAAGAGTTTAGCACGACTCATGCATTATAAGTCATCCGTGAAATTTTTCAAAATCCGAAAGCTGGTCATACAATCGGGCTGTTGTCGTAGTATCATGAGACTTAATCGCTAGTGTAGTAAAATTGCCAATTTCTTCGTGGCGCGGTGATTGCCGATCACCGACTTAAGCACGCACGCCGACGCGGCACAAGAGACCGCCTCATTGGCTTCGCCGGCCTCGCTGCCCATCATCGTACGACATATAATCACGAACTCGGAACAGTTTCTCATGTTTCACAATGACCTAGCTCCTGTTGAGTCTAGCGGAACATCACAGCGCAACCGAGCACGTACCATTGCTCCCTAGTTGGTCATATTTAATTGCGTGCGCATGTGTACTTAATTAGGGAAAAATTAAGCGTTTGTAGAGCACAGAATTAGCTGAAGCTTCAACGCACCTAGAACTTATTCCTTCAAAACATGGTCGTAAAGGATGCAAAGGTACAAAACTGTAGCCTGCCGAAGTTGAAGATATTGAGCGGGCACAAGCGCAGCGTCGCCCATGTGGCTTCACGGGGATTACCGTGCCACAAAGAAGCCATATTTCTCCGGCGCCGCCTCGCTGAACTGCGCAGCACTCCGAGACAGCGACTGAGATTACCAATAGCCATATCATCTGATGGCAATGACCGACTATTCAATTGTTTGCTGGGCTCCTCCACGAACGTAATCCCGGCGCGCGGTTGCTCTTGGGACTAGTACTACCGTAAGTGTCTCTGATTAAGCGTGCT